TCTTGCTTTTGATTACCACATGCAGGCAATTGAAACCATGTTAGTGATAAAATATCCTTCCCCGTGAAAAAAGTCTTTCATTGGTCTAGATTCTAAACAATTATTGTGGTTACTATTGAATTTTAAGTATATATATATAAGCTTCAAATTAGCATATTTTTTATTTTTTATAATTTATCCTTTCACAAACATTAAATTACATATAGGATCTATTCAAAGAACACCTCAGTTACACACTTAGTCTCCTATACACATGTAGATTCAAATATGTGCTTTCATTTTGAGCAGAATGTTAAAATGTTTTGAGCTTCTTTTGGTGCAGTTCATTTCTTTATATATTCTTGAGTCTAAATAATGAACAATGGTATGATTTGTGTGTGTGTGTGTGTGTGTGTGTGACTAAAATCAAGGAAATGCAAAGTGCACCTATAAAGAGACAACACGAAATCTCTTCAGAATACAAGAATTTAAAAATAACTGATAATGCCAAGTGTTGATAAGGATGTAAACCACTCTTTGTGATTCACAGTATCTTTGGGAAAACTGTTCTGCATCTATAAAATTTGAAAAAGTTCATGCTGTATGACCCAGCAATTACATTACTAGGCAAACACCCAACAAAAAATTATATGCATACTAAAAGACATTCAAGAATGTTCAGCACAATATCATTTGTAACAGCCTCTAACTGGAAACATTTCAAACTGTTAAGAATTGAATAAATAAACAAATTGTGGTGTATTTATACAACGGAATAACACACAACAATGAGGAAGACACCTCTATACTCAACAATCTGGATGAATCTCAAAAACATAGTGTTGAATCATATGACTCATATACAGAATATTACACGGATTATAATTCCATTTCTATAAAATTCAAAAACCAAAAGAAGAATTCTGTGGTGTTAGAATTTAGGGCAGTTCATATTTTTTGAAGATAGAGGGGATATGGCTTGGGAGGGACATGACATTGTTTTCCGGTGTTTCCTACTTTTGGGGTATTTTGTTAATTGTTTTTTGTTTTGAGTCAGGGTCTTGCTCTTTCTCCAAGGTTGCATTGCAGTGGCACAATCACAAATCACTGTAGCCTTGATCGGCCAGGCCCAGACTATTCTCCTGCCTCAGCCTCCTGAATAGCTGGAACTACAGGTGTGTACTACCACGCCCAGCTAATATATATATATATATATTTTGTAGAGATGGGGCTTTGCTATGTAGCCCAGGCTGGTCTTGAACTCCTGGGCTCAAGTGATCTGCCCCTCTCCACCTCTTAAGGTGCTGGGATTATAGGCATGAGCCACCACACCCAGCCTGGTGTTTCCTAGTGATGTTTAATTTCTTCACCTAGTTGGTGTTTATTCCCTTTGTGGTAATCCAGTGAAATCTGCTTTTTATGATTTGTATGCTTTTCTGAGTGTATAATTCAATAAAAATGTTTATTGGAAAAACAGCTACAAACATTAAGGTATGAACAAAAGATATTACAGACTTTGTATTTTGGGGATATTATTCTACAATCTGGTATGATTGGGCTCACAAGTTTAATTGTAACACATATAGATAGAATTTTCTTTACGAAAACCTAAAATGGGCCAGGCGCAGTGGCTTGCATCTGTGATCCCAGCACTTTGGGAGGCTGAGGAGGGTGGATTACAAGGTCCGGAATTCAGACCAGCCTGACCAACATGGTGAAACCCCATGTCTAGTAAAACACAAAAAGAATTAGAGAGGTGTGGTGGTGCACTACTGTAGTCCGAGCTACTCGGGAGGCTGAGGCAGGGGAGTCGCTTGAACCCAGAAGGCAAAGGTCACAGTGAGTCGAGATTGTGCCACTGCACTCCAGCCTGGTGACGGGGTGAGACTCCATCTCAAAAAAACCACACTTACGTAAACCAAGAGGAGTGTTATTTTAGCACTGCTTACATTTTAAAGGAATTCTCTTTCTTTGTGTATTAAAATATGTTTTTTCCAATTATTTTTTCCAATACTCAAGAAAAAATAAATTATGTAATTTATTTGTTTATTTATTTTTGAGACAGGGTCTCACTCCCATTGCCCAGGCTGGAGTACAGTGGTGCAGTCATGGCTCACCTGACTTCCTTGACTTCCTGGGCTCAGGTAATTCTCCCACCTCAGCCTCCTGGGTAGCTTGGATGACAGGCATATGCTGCCTGGCTAATTTTTTGTATTTTTTTTTTAGTAGAGGCAGGGTTTCACCATGTTGTCCAGGCTGACCTCAAACTACTGAGGGTCAAGAGATCTTGCTCTCCTCCATTTCCCAAAGTGTTAAGATTGCAGTCATAAGCCAACACACCTATCTTCTATTACATGATTTTAAAAAGCAAACTAAGTATTTCACCTTCCATTTCACCTCTGTATCTTTTCCCTGCATATTATTCTTATGAGACTCAAATGGCACTATTATCACCATCTTTACTATCTTCATTATCCCATTGCATTTGCATCTTGCTTAACAGTAACAAAGAGCTTTCTCACTGATTGCACAAGTGTCAGAGGTAAAGAAGGCAGATATCAGTCTCACATTCTTCCTGGGCAAAGAAACTCAAAGTGGTCAAGAGATTTTCCTAATATTCCACTGCTCACGGGAGGTGAAGCTGTGCCTTAGTCCAGCAATCTGTCCTTAGTAGTTCCTGAATCTTTCAGTTTACTTGGTTGCAAGCTACAGAAACCAACTCTGGTTATCCTAAGACAAGTAAAGAAAGTGAGAAAGAAAGAGAAATCAAGAAAGAAGGAAAGAGAAAGAAAAAGAAAGAAGAGAGACAGAGAGAAAGAGGAAGAACAAGAGAGAGGAAGGGGGGAAGCAGGGAGAGAAGTCAGAATATCTTGGACGCATACCAGGGGCTCAAGTATTAACAAGAGGCTGAGGCACATGTCTTGGAAAAGTGGCAGTTGCCAGGCAGCTGTAGAGACTTGGCATCAGAAATGATGATGTAGAAGCCATCTGGTCCTTGTGTTGCTGCTGGGATAACTCTGAAATCCAAAAATATGTTTTCCTTGCTCAGGATTCAAATTTCCAGGAAGGAGGCCTGAGGCGCTGGGTTTTACTTTTGCGCCACTCCCTGGCTATACTCAAAAGCCAGGTAGGATTTGTGTCCCTTCTTTCCTGGGAGGAGGCAGTCAGGATTAAAGAATGTCTCAAAAGAGATATTATAGTGAAGGACTTCCCTCAAAGGAAAATCAGGGTGCTCATTGTAGTGAGTTGTTGGATGCCAGAGAGCTGAAACACGTGGCAAACCTCTTCTGTAATACTCGTCTACGCACTGGAGAAAAGGCCAAATAGGTAATGATGATAGCAGCTGGAATCATGATCAATGTGAATGTCTGAGATTCTGAAGGCATTTAGGGTTGAACCAATCTGTTAGTTCCTGGTGCCTTTGCAGCCCTTGTGGTTGCATGGAACTGTGTTACTTTAAAACAGGCCCAACACTTGGTTTCCGGACTAAGTTGATTCTCAGCCTTAACTAATAAGACTCAAAATAAGACATGCCAATCATTCTAAAGACTCAACAATGTGGAAAAAAAAAAAGGAACAACAACAACAGAAAAGCTAAAGGGCATCTAAGAGGCCACAAAATAGCAATCATCAACACAATAGCAAGCAGAGAGGTGGAGGTTGCTGCCCACTGTAGCAGCTGGAACAGTGACGCAAACAAGTAGAATTTTAAGGGAGTGCATTAGTTACCAGGGCTGCCATAACAAAGGACCATGCACTGATTGGCTAAACAGATCTTTATTGTCTTGCAACTCTGGAGGCTTGAAGTCCAAGATCAAGGTGTCAGCAGGATTGGCACCTTCTGAGGGCTCTGGGGGAGAGTCTGCTCCATGCCTCGCTCTTGGCTTCTGGTGGTTTGCTGGAAATCTTCGATCTTCCTTGGCCTTTGGTGCATTACCCCAATCTCTGCCTTTATGCTCACATGATGTCCTCTCTGCGTGTGTTTCTCTCTGTGTCCAGATTTCCCTTTTGTGTAAGTACACAAGTCATACTGGATTAAGGCCCAATCCTAAAGACCTCATTTTAATTTGATTACCTTTAAAGACCCTATTAGCAGGTAAGGTCACATTCTAAGGTACTGGGGATTAGGCTTTAAACATGTCTATTTGGAGGACACAGTTCAACCTATAAAAAGGTCAAAAGTCATACTTTTTAACTTCTCTTTTTCTGGGGACCAACAGACATGTTCAACACTGTGTCATATGTAGGAACAACTCAGTTTGTGACAAGGTCAGTGAGTTTACGATGCTAAATGGTAATGCCAAGGCTGCAGATATTATGACCTGAAGTCTCACCTTATTAATTCTGCTAAGTTCCTAGTTTCATGTTTACTACAAAGTATAGTCTTTTCCTAGGAAAGTGTTGACTGTGACATATGTTGTTTACACACTTGTTTTATTTAGGGGTTTAATTTCTTTTATTTCAATCTTAATTTTCCAATACGTATTGAGAATTTTGCTTTTATTAATAATTTTTGTACCCTTTAAATATGATATCACTGGCACAGATGTACTATAGGTTTAGAATTTAATGAAAACATTGAACATTTATTAAACAATTATCATGTGCCAGGAAGATAATAAGATCTTTATATAGATTATTTCATTTAATCCTCGAATGATTCTTATTTTACTAATGAGGATATTGAGGCTATGGAAGGTTTCCTGAATTTCTCAAGTATCTTACAATGAGGGGAAAATTTGGGCTCAGGCTGATTGTATAGTCTGGGTGTTGCCACTACACATTATTGCTTAGGAAATCGTTTCCATAATTTGAGATGATGCAAAAATTTGAATTTTGATACCACATAAACCAGCATCTTTTTTATTCATAACTAAAAACTATATGAAATATTTGCTGTGTGGTAACAGCAATATTGTAATCAACTGTTCTGCGGTTCTAGAGCCATCAGTGGGAGGAAGAGTGGAGGAGGAGTCAGGGGAAGAAGGAAGGAGGAGGGGCTGGACCAGGTCACCTTTGAATGTTCTCAGCACACACGGGGCTGCAGGGCTGCTCTCCTTCCAAGCTCCTCCCAGAAACAGACAGGTGGGACAGAAGAAATCCTCAGTTGTTGGAAGCTGACTGCTAAAAGCTGGCTAGAGAGAGCCAGAGCACTCAGAACTTGGGGGAGAGTTTAAACATTATGCTGGAGAAAGACTGTGGGTATCCTCACTTGACTAGAAGAAGGATCACTTTTTTCTTGGACCCAGGTCAGCACTCCTTTGGGTTATGTGATGCAAGACATTCATGCTAAGAGATGAATTTGTCTCCACCTGGCATGCACTGCATGGCATACAATTTCTATTGAGTTAAAGAGGAAGACACAGCTGCTTCAAATAACAAAATTTTGTCGTCTGTAGCTGGTAATAGATGAAAGAAACCTGCATTTTCTTTCTCTTTTCAATGGAGAGGGTTGGGAGAGGGGAAGCGGGATATATTAAATTTGGCGAGCTTTAGCTTCTGAGTGCCTCAGGCCTTACCCTGGAAATACTTCACATCAAGTATGTACAGAGGTACAAGAAGAAATTAATCTTGCCATCAGTAACACTTTGTATTTGGACACTATGTCAAAAAGTGCCAGCTTCCAAGAGTTTTGGCTACTTTCTTAATTTTCTTTGCAACCCAGCAAATGTTTTCCCTCCTCTTCTAAAGGGAAGGTAATTTGCTCTTTTTCTCTCTTTTTCCTTGGATGTTTGCAAACACTGTGGCCTTTAGCAGGAATTGGATAGACTTGAGAGCTATAAAACCAAATCCTTTGCAATCTTATAATCTTATTTGTTTCCTCTAGGAGTCTGCTGAGGTGTTCATAGCTTCCTACCCTGTCAGATAGTAAAAGTGGTGTGATGATGACCAAGTTGGATGGTTAACGGAAGATCCTCAACACCAGGTACTGCCCAGCCAACAAGGCATAGGCTTGTCTCTTTTTCCGTAGGCCAATAGCGAGGCGAGAAATGGCCTGATGCATAATAAGCCAGTCCTCACTGCACTCCAGCTCTGCCTACCAAGACAGGGCCCAGAGCCCCCCAACACTCCCTCATTGCTGACACCACAGAGCTGAGCTTCACAAAGCACTCCCTGTTGGCTCTGCATTTAGACCTCCCACAACTACATATAAAACAGAGGGAGATTAACATGCCTTAGAAACTAAGCAAATAACTTAAGGGATAATATTTAAACATACTCCTATATCTAGATCTTCAACTTCCTTTATTCAATTTCACAGTAATGCAAATATAACAGCTTGAGATACTTTTAGTCCTGTGCAGTGTGTTTGCTAAAATAGTGTCTGGCTTTTCTAGATTTCAAGGTCTGAATCTTGTTTAACTATCAATTCAATTAGCAGGAGTTTGCCAAATAACTTACATGTGGAGAGGGTGTGGTGAAAACCCCACAGCTACACTGATTAGTGAGGGCATTATATGGTTAAGTGCTCATAAACTAAAACCGAGTTTTCTTCTTCTACTCAAGGGTCCCTTGGTGATCGATCTTAAGCACGTCCAAAGAGAAAAGTTTTACCACACTGACAACAAAAGATAGCATGAGACTTAATGAGCATTTCTTGCGAATCGTCAACCTTACATTTTAAATTAGAAATGCCTCTATTCTATTAGGCTAACAGAAAAGTGTTATACATTTGTGTTATGATATTCAAAAGGAAGCACTTTCAAGTTATTAGTTAGGAGGTGTTAGATATTTAGAGAATCACCAATTTTCCAGTAGATTCCTTTATTATCTTTACATGATGGCTTTATTTCAAAAAACAAAAAAAAAAAAAAAAAGGGAAAAAGACAAGACTCCAGATGTTTGAGTTACTTTTCTGCTTACTTCTTAACTGAAACTACTGAAATCATTGTCTTTGCTATGAGTGCTACTAGGTAAGGAAGTTTAACTTCATCGTTTCTTCATTTTTCTTTGCGAAAATGGTATTTAGACTCTTACATGCTAACTGGTTACTTCTGATCCATCCTGGAAACCAGTTAAATAGAAATAATCTCAAAAGATTAGACATTCAGACTGGGAGCAGTGACTCATGCCTGTAATCCCAGCACTTTGGGAGGCTAAGGTGGGCAGATCACCTGAGATTGGGAGTTTGAGATCAGCCTGGCCAACATGGCGAAACCCTGTCTCTACCAAAAATGCAAAAATTACCCAGGTGTAGTGGTGCACCCCTGTAACCCCAGCCACTTGGGAGGCTGAGGCAGGAGAACTGCTTGAGCCTGGGAGGTGGAGTTTGCAGTAAGCCAAGATCATGCCATTGCACTCCAGCCTAAGAAACAGAGTAAGACTCTTTTCAAAAAAAAAAAAAAAAAACTTAGGCATTCAGAAAATGACATTTGCTGAACTCTGGAAAATGCGAGCACTTTGAATGGCTACAAGTGTGGGCCTTTTACTGCTCCTTTTCCTCCCTACTTGGTTTATATGCAAGTTGAGGAACTATATTATTCCACAAAGGGTGATAAAGAAAAAAAAACACGCACAGGGAAATGTTGGGAGGGAAATGCTCAACAGTGAAGGATGAGTGGGTACATGTTAGTAATGTGCTGTTTGTTCTCTGCCTGGTCTCCTAACCCTCCCCTAACCCTTGCTCACTGGTAGAAGTCACTCTCTTTCCCTGTTTTTTAAATGTTTCCTTCTGCTGCCCAAAAAGGCTTCTCTCTTAATAGTTTACATGTCATCTCAAAAACAACCATTTCTAAGGTCCCAGCATTTTGATTCTTTCATTTCCTAAGCAAAAGTTCCCAATAATTTTACTAGTTTTGAGACCCACTGGTGGAGGTGTTAACTATTGGGAAACCCCCTGTAGTGTACATATGAGTTCTTAAAGAGAAATCTCGCAGCCATAGCCTTTGGTACACATTACTTAACGCCATTTGCCCTGGGCATGTTAGAGACAGGGATATTGATGTCAGATTGGGAAATACTGCACAGATGCAATAAAAGACCAATGTGCTTTCTTTGGGAGTCCCCTATTTCTAGACTACAGAGGATAATTCAGTGCCTAATTAAAAGGCTGAAAAGACACCAAGGAAACAAACTTCAGGGACTTTTCAGAGAACAGTTCCTTAGAAGCTCCCAGAAGACTAGCCACTAAATTATAAGGGTGTCATCAAAAATTTTGATCTCTGGCACTATATCTTTCAGAAATGCAGCTGCCTTAGCAGAGAGCTGCTGGGCACTTGGCAGCTATTTTTTTTTTATGTGCTGCCAAAGGTAAGAGTTTGCCTTTGCTAGTAATTATAAAATTATAAGCCAGCAGCCAAATGAGAGCAATTATGAAAAGTGACCAATGAGCCAGTTTTTATAAAGTTATCAAAATAAGTGAGGAAGATTATTTTTCTAATGAATAAACAAGTTTAATCTTACATGTGTGCCATTAGGAAAGTCAGTGATGGAATACATGAAGAACAAATGAGTAAGGCAGCACACCATAAGCACTCAATCACATACAGTATGACTCAACTCCAGTGTTTCACTTCTTGGTTTAGGGAGATCAGGTTTCTTGAAGGAATTGTAAAGCCCAGATATATTAAAGATAATATGCAAAGTCATTTAGGGGGACAATTGTATGGGAAGGGAGGTTGATATCATTATTATTTAGCATCTACTATTTATCAAGCACTATTTCTAGTACTTTGCATCTCTGATCTCAGATGCTAGTCTCAGTAACTCTATAAAGATGGTATAATTGTCCTCATGTTTCAGATGGTCATTGAGAAGGTGAAGTAAATGTTACAATGTTTCATAGACAGTAAGTTGACTTCAGAGAGTCCCTTCTGAAGTCTGATCCCAGTTCCAAAGCCCATGCTTCTCTCTGTTGCCTCTCGCCTAGGTGACCATCAAGGGTACCCAATAAAGAGGAAATGACATCCTAGTAGGGCTGCCCAACCAATCTGTAAATGAATGGAAGGAAAATGCTGGCTACAGCAGGAGTCCTTAAACATTTTAGACACATGTGCCTGTTGAAATCAAAATAAAAATATAGAGAATAATTTCTAAATTTAACATTTTGTTTGGGATACAAGAATGGCAATGAGGGGGATACATGCAGATAAGGTGGGCTTCAGCACGTCTGAAGAACAAAGAGAAGGTTTGGAGTTTTATAAAGAAGAGAAATGTTATGTATTGTTTTTCTAGAAAGTTATTTGGCACTGGTCAAGTTTTGGGGAGCTGGCAAGATCTCAATGGTGATTGATAGCAGTAGGTAAAACTAGTCTTAGAGTTGCAGCAGGTTTTCAGTAGCCACGAGATAAAACTTTTCAGGTTATGGCAGGCAATTTCAGCATCCAGGCTTGCAGAGAATTATATTCTGAGTGCTGTTATGTTCCCTGAGTGCTTCTCCACCTGGCTTCTTGACTGTTTTAGTTCGGTGTGACAAGAATGACCCAATTCACATCACTTATTGGATATATAATTTGCAAATGTCTTTTGCTATTGCGTAGGCTGTCTTTTCACTTTATTGAGGGGAACTCTTCATTTAGAAGGTGACATGTGGGCTAGCTCTTGAAATGAATGGCAAAAATAGAATAAAGCTAAAAACTACTAAAATAAGAATATGCGTTATAATATGTATGATAAACAGAATGTGTAATTAGGGCTGTGGCTCAACTATCTGTGCTATGCATATTTTTGTTTGCAGATCTATGACAACTTTCTGTGTTTCAAATGTTACTGCTTAAGCTGCTCCCTAGAGGCAAATTAAAGAAGAGCAGCAATCTTTTCTTACTTCCTATATTGTCAGTTCCCCTGATGAATGGTTTGCCAATTATCCATAAATACATTGGTAGGTATTTAAGGATAAGCAGAATAGAAACTGTATTTTCTAGGACTTACTGGTAATAACATTCAGATAAGTCAATGTAATGTGGCAAATTTACAAAACTTGCTTTCCTCTGTAAAACTTGGAATGCATAGGCATAGAATGTCATATTCTGTCTTTAAAAGTGAAAAGAAGACCATAAAGTTCTTCACAGAAGCATAGACACACACAGACACATTGGCTAACACAGCAAAGACAAACTAGAACTCCTAGTGATTTCACTGTGATTCCTAATAATTGTGTATGGCACAACATGAACTAAGATAATATATTAATGCCAAGTTAGGCAAGTAAGTTTTCAGCACTGGAAGTGGACAATGTCATTACTGTTTAAGGCAAAAATGAAAAAATGCTATAATTAGGGACTGCAAGGCAATAAATGAGATGTGGTTATCTGAAGAGGAAATAAGAAAACATCTTGCTTCACCGTATGCCAGTGAACAAAGTGTGATTTATACAGACTACACTAAGTTAGGAAGGTGCCTTCCATGTGCAAGAAGAAAAAACTAGGATATCCTGACATATTCATGGAGGCTTCTCTTTTCTGTGAACTTGAGAGGTAATTATAGGAGGTTATGAGGAAGAGAGCTTTTAAATTACTGTGGACTCTTTTTATTTTCCTCAAAATCCCTTAGGTGAACAAAGGAAATCAATATAAACAATGGAAATCTCTGAGACATTTAGGAAATGGAAAACAATGTCTAACAGTAAGACTTGGACAGATCCAAACTGATAGAGAAGTGGTGGAAAATTCCATCACCTTTGACTATTTACCCCCTCTGAAAATACAGCAGAACGTCTACTGTTAACATTGTCAATAGGACACTGAATTGGAATGATTTAATCAGTCAAATACATTAGTCAGATTTTTACTCCCCATATCCAGGAGAAGCAGTTTCTCACCAGTGTTTTATCGATATGTACAATCACCAGGAAGAGATATTTTCTGAGATAGCTATGGAAAAGTCTTGATTAGGGTCACTTATGGATCTTTTGGTAGCTCTGGGTCATTAGGCTTAGCTACTAGACTGTTCTGTATAAGGTCCTCAGAAGTTAGTAGGAATTAAAATAGAAAGTCAGACCTATGATGATCCGAAACAAGATTATATCCCCAGTTAAGACCACCGAATTGGTTTGTGGGTGACAGAGTTGAGCTGCTGGCTCTCAACCATGCAGATTAGGAACATACTAGAACTCTTTCTAGCTATTTTCAGAGCCGTTTGGATGTGTCACACATGTCTTTATATAAACTTTTTATAAAATTTCATTTATATTTTGACTTGCCAATGGTATTTGTTGAGATGGGGTTTCACTACATATCACAGAGGTCTAGAATATCAATGACTTAAATAAGGCAGAATTTTATTACCTTATTGTAAAGTCCAGAGGTGGGCAAGGCAGTGTGGAGTTAATAGGACTGATCCATGGTGGGCCCAGGAACCCAGCCTTGTCTGACACTGCCAGGCTACCTTACACATGTGTACCATTATATACATGGTATAGCCATAACATCTGTGTTCCAGGCAGAAGGAAGAAGGAAGAGATGAAGAGACAGGTGTGTGCTAGCTCATTCATAAATAATATTGAAGAAGCTGCCAGAGGAAATTTCCACATACATCTCATTTGTCAGAGCATAATCATACAGCAAGGAAGGCTGGGAAATGGAAATTTGATTTGCAAAATTATTTACCCAGCTAAAAAATGGAGATTCAATTATTCTGAAATAAAGGGAGAACAAATATTGGGAGACAGACTATAGTATTCACAATACTACAATTTAGAAAAGTATTAGACTGAATTTTGTAACAAAATTCTGCCTTTTAGTTAATCCACATTTACCTGTTTTGGACTTCAGCACTGCCTTGTAGTTCTAATGTAAGTGGTTTGATATTGATCAAGAAGTAGCTAAAAGATGCCTGAGATCTCTGGCTGTGGAAATGAGAATTACATGGAGGTACACTTAATGGAGTTTAATGAGGTGGTTTCCTTTTAATGTTACACTCTTATTACAGAATACTTGTGTTCACTCCCTTTGTACTCATCCTTTGATTATCTACTTTAGTTATTTGAATTTTAACAAATTATCAAAAGTAACTACTTAGCAAACATTCTTTTCAGGCTGATTCTCAGACTTTTTTTGTCTGTGTTTACATGAAAGTGTCCCCATGTCACTGTGAACACTGTGGAGGCCCTCCACTGCACCTTCTAAAGCATGAACATTTCTGCTTTGGCAAATGTAGAATTGAGTAAATAAACCTTGCCTCAATGGAGAGAGATGCTTTGGGTCATCAAAACTCATCAATGGTCTGGCCTAATTATGGATCATCAGCAAGATATATGCTTCATGACCAAAGAGATGGAAATGGATAATGCCATTTAAAATGTGGGAATATAATGACAGGAAGACTAGATTATAAAACATCATCAACATTTAAGAGAAATCGTGCTTCAGATGCCACTTAAAGTAGGCCAGTAGGCTAAGGAAGAATATAAATAAATACATATGGTCCATTTAAACCATATTAACATTAGAAAGATATTTTAGTAGCAAAGGTAATCTTGAAAATGATTCATTCAAATCTTTTTATTTTATAGAAGAGGTTACTGAAATGCAGGAAAGTGAGCCAGGAACAGTTATAAAATTAGCCATAAATCTCTTGAGAAAATAATTTCTATTGTTGTCATTATTGAATAATTGTCAAGTATGGACACAAAGATTACAAAGATTATTACAAAAAAGATTTTGTAAGATTCTCACAAAGAGTTGTTACTGTTAATAATTTTTCTCATAATAGATTATTTATATTATTTTAAGTTAAATCTTGGAATAAATCACTAATCTCCTAAAATGAGGGGAAGGAATCATCTCCTCACATAAAAATGATGTGATTTGGAGAATAAAAGTGACATTTGAATATCATGTCTTATTCCTGCAAGTTGATACTTAAATATGTGTGTCTAACTGCTTAAATATAAATGCAAAAAACTCCACACAACTCAAGCTTGGAAACACAGAAGTAGCTATGAAGACTCTGCTGCCCATCGTTTATCTGCTGCTGCTTGTTTACCAAGAGCAAATGTGAGTGTTCATACATTAGATATGAGAATTCACATCAAACCAGTTTAAAAAATTATTTATTTCCTATACTCTCAGCTTTTTGCAGCTTGGTGGGCAAGGACTAAAATTATTTCAGTGAAATCTAAAGAGGAAACCCACTAATCTGGCTATCAGGGCGGATGCCAGGGCATTTATAAACTACCAATTATATGTCATATTTAGTCCTGCATGTTTCTCCAATCGCTTCTTCTTTTTAATGCATTCTTCCAAAAGTGGGTTTTGGAAATATTTCATCTGTCTCTGTTGATTTAGGAGCATTTATTTTTCATGCTTTGATTGGATAATGAAGAAAACAGTCACTATAATCTACTTAACAAGCAAGACCGTGGAAAACTTAACCACGAAGCTAACAGAATTGCTGACCTTTTGTCATTTCTGCATCTCCCACAGAATGACCTTCTGCCTGAAAAGTTCATCCGCAGAGTCAATACCATTTCCTGTCATCACTTTGCATCCCTGATCAGCATGCTAAGCAAAGAGCAGCTGTGACTCAGCCTGGTGCGCTGAAGAGATAGTTCCTGGTTCTTTTAAAGGGCACCTGTGTCCATTTTTCTGCTGTGGATATCCATCTTCCTTTAACATTCCTAAATTAAAATTGAAGGCTTTAGGAAGAGTTATTACTGTTATTACTATAAAGTGACATTAAGAAATAATAGCCTTTAAAATATATGAACACATTCTTGACAAGTGTTACTGGGATGGGAAAACAAAGCAAACAAAAAGATGTGAACAGAAGGGATTCTGTAGGATTTGTAGTTGATCATTCATTCTCTTTCTCTTTTAGACCCTTTCTTTCTCCTCTTTCTTTTTTTTCACTTCTTTCCCTACTCTTCCCTTCCCTCCCCTCTGCTCCCATCTCCTTTACTCTCCTCTCCATACTTGTTACTGAAAATGTGTTACTTAATGATTTTGCAATGTCAGCATATGCTCTGGCAACCGCTCAAATACTTGAAAGGATTAATATGAAGGAACAGGCTGGCAATTTGCTGAATTCATTTAAAAGGTAAAAAATGCTATGGAATAAACAGTTTTAAAAATGAGTGTCAGCTGGGTTTTTTTTTAATGTAACATTTCTTACTTAACTGAAGACTGGTATCAAGTGAACTAATTCTTCAGTGCAGAAGGGCCATCTTCATGCTGTTTTGTCCAAAGAAATGTTGAGTTATTGGTTTTTGCAATAATGGTGTGCACAGCGTATTTCACTCTATCTTGATATTCGTTTTCACAAAACTGTCACAAGAACCCAGATATAATTCAAATCCAGTCTGTTTGTTACACACAGATTAAAATCAGTCATAAAACCAAATCTCTGTTTTTTTAGTATGGAAAACAATTTTAATTGACAAGTAAATATGATCTTTACTGATCAGATAGAACACATTCTTTTAGAATATGTGTACAATGTAAAATGGCTAAATTAAGCTAATTAACATACTCATTTTGTAAGGAGTGAGAATACTTAACATTTCTTGGCAATTTTCAAGACTATAATATATTGGTATTAGCTCCATGTTTTACAATAGATCTATTGAAGTTATTCCTCCTGTCTAACTTAAACTTTCTGTCCTTTGACCAACATCTCAACTGCTTCCTCCACTCCAGCTGCCTGGTTCCTACCATTTTACTTCTTACTTGTATGAGTTCAACATTTTTAGGTTCCACATATAAGTGAGAACATGCAGTATTTTTCTGTACCTGGTTTATTTCACTTAACATAATATCTCCTAGATTTATCTATGTTGTCAGAAATGACAACATTTTCTTTTTTCAGGATTAAATAGTACTCTATTGTGCATATATACCATATTTTCTTTGTCCATTCCTATGCTGATGGATACTTAGTTTGAGTTCATATTTTGGCTGTTGTGAATAATGCTATAATGAACAGGGGAGTGTAGCTATCTCTTGGACATACTGATTTCATTTCCTTTGTACATATACCCAGAAGTAGAATGCTGGATCATATGGTGGTTCTATTTTTAGTTTTTTGAGAAACCTTTATACTATTTTTCATAATTGCAGTACTAATTGACATTCCCACTAACAATGTACAAGAATTCCCTTTTCTCCACATCCTCATCAAAATTTATCTTTTGTCTTTTTGATAATAGTTATTCTAACAGGTGTGAGGTGATATTCTCATTGTGGTTTTATTTGCTTTCCCTGATGATTAGTGATATTGGGCATTTCTTTTTCATACGCCTGTTGGCCATTTGTGTGACTTCTTTTGAGAAATATTTATTCAGATCTGTTGCCCATTTTAAAATTAGGTTATTTGTTTTCTAACTATTGAGTTGTTTGAGTTTCCTAGATATTTTGAACCCTCATCAGAGGTATGGTTTGCAAGTGTTTTCTCCCATTCTACAGGTTGTCTCTTTACTGTGTTGATTGTTTCCTTGACTGTGTCCACTACACACAAATTAAAATCACAGTAGTGAAACCACATCTCTATTATTTGGATTTCGTAGGGATATGTTTCATTTTATGTTTTCATTGAGCTTCTCTGGTCACTTTGGGCAAAGCCCCCTAAGCTGCAGGATGCTTCTCCTCCAGGATTCCTGGGTTTCTGATCTCTGAACCAGCTATGCTCTTCAGCTACTTTTCAAACAAAAATGAATAACTTGCTGACTCACTGACTTTATATACAAAAATATAAGAAACATAATATTCTCAGCAGATGGGTTCGATTTAATGTTCTCTAAGCTTGTTTTCCTCTGTGACCCTGTTCTAACAGCTGTTTTTTCATCTTTATTATTTACTAATAGGGTTATGGAGCACCATAGATTTTTGAACTTCTCTCCTCTCTGGAGATTAAATTATCATCTGATAGGGAAATTATCAAATCATATTGATTGTTTCAGGTCTCAGAGACAGTGTTTCTCCTGAGCTAACTTTCTTCCTCTTCTGTTTGTCTGTTACCCAAGAGAGAGAATACAGTCCAGAGTGTCTTTTAGAGGTGAATTGCTTCATGGAGCTTGCTGGCATTGATCAACACAGGATTCTGACCTTTTCCTTTGTGGCAGTTTCCTGCTCAGATAAAGTTTTCATTGTTGTGGTTTTAATGACTTATTTTTTTCTCTTTACAAAGTAATAAATGCACATGGAAATACTTCAAGTAGTACAAAGTATACACAGTAAGTCTCCTTCTACCCACTAAGACCCTCATCTCCCAAGAGGAGCATCGCTAAAGTTTCCCATTACAGAGAGACAAATTCCATTTCTTCATCCTGTAATTCAAAGCTCTCCATGATCTTTCTTCAGCCTCTTTCGCTCTTTTCCCCCCCGCTACTGGAGTAGGCACATACTGGCACATACTCCTTACTCCCACCATACCTGCTATGCTGCTCCTGATTAAGTCCTGGGTTTACTCCTGTGTGTCTCTCCTGTAGGTCTTTGCTCTGCTGGTCCCCTCTGGCAGGGTGTCCTCCATTCTCCTTGCAAAGCCTGACCAGCTTCAAAACTCTGCTCAGATCTAACCTGCCTTGCAAGGTCTTCAGAATTTTCTTAGTCTGAAAGTGATTGTGCTCTCCCTTTCCATCTGGTCATGAAAGATGATTGCTGACTTTCTTGCATTCATCTGATGTATTGGTCTCCACTACTGAGCTGTAAGATCTGAGAGGGAAGGAGTGAAGAAACTTCAACTCTAGGCTCAGCTTAGCCATTAATAACTATGCACCCCAGAGAAAGCCACTAAGCTTCTCCAAGCCCAGTTTTCTCATCAGTCACAACATTTTTGAAAACAAATAGCCAAACCTTACAAGCCTCAAGAAGAAAGCAGGGGCTTGTGCTGACTCTATGTTCTTAGTGAGACATATTCTTTCTTTCCTATGTAAATGAAAATATATATTTCAAGTAAATAGATTATTATGATCTCTAAGAAATACAAGCCTCATGGAAATATAAAGAATGTATTTGTTGAAGTATATGAGGTAAATACTGAGAATTAATAAATCTGAGCGATTAATGCAGAATCCCAAATTCCATGGAATGTTTAATTATGTACCAATACTCTCCATTCAAGTAAATAACTTGCAAGTTGATTGATTCACGGACTTTCATTGGTTGTTTTTGAAATTAAATAAAAGCCTTTAAGCTTTCTTAAGGTGTTGTTTACAGCAGGTGTAATGTCTTATGCACTTTCAGGGAGGAATGATCAGCAGCTTGTGACCTTGTTTGAACAGTTAATATACTCAGTACATAATCACCAAAATGTCCTTCTAGGGAAGAATTTCATCTAAATCTGGTTAAAGTAGACTTTAATATTCATAAGAGGACAGAATTATTGCCTAAATAAGTCTATCATGCAGAATTTTGTGGCAAGAAAGCCTAGGAGCTTAACATTACAATGGAAATGTTTCTTTCTAAAATGGGAAATAAAAACAAATAGTTTAACATTTCTTGTCATGCAAATGAGCTTATAAAATTCTCAGACTACAAATATTAAGGTACATTCACACAAAAAAGAGGAAATAAAAAGAACCACAAGATTTTTTTTGGGGGGTTAACTACAAAAATAATTGTGGAAACCTGGATGAAAGAAATAATGTTCTAGAAAGATATGATGTACTCATCCAGATGATAGAAAGTGTTGGTAGATATTGTAAAAAAGGAAATAGAATAAGTAAAACTTTGTTTTTATTTCTTCAAATGGTTTCCCTGGAGAATCCTATAAATCATTTAGAGAACACATAATTCCAATGTTACTTAAATTGTTTCACATCATTAAAAAGAAAGAAAGAAAAGTCTCTAGGTACATTTTATGAAGGAAGTATAACATTGATAACAAAGATCACACCAAAAGAAGAATATGGAGACTAATCTCATTTATTAATAAAATACAGAAATCTGACAATACTAGCAAATGCTCAGTAGTTCTTAAAAGAATGGTAAGTCATTACATGGTAGGGTTTATTTTAGAAATGAAAGACAATACTTGATGGATCCAAAAAGTAAAAGCACCTGATCAGCATTAACAATGCTGAAAAGAGCTCTGGGACAGCATCATATTTTATGGGAAAGCTTAAGAAGCATTCTTAAGTTTCTTTTTTTTAACAGAGTGATGAGATGAAGTAGAGATAATAGTCATGTTCATTTGAAAAATAAACGTACCTCATGCATACATCAACATAAATTGCTATTAATGAGTTAATATTTAAATAAAAAATCAAACAGCAAAAACATGAGTAAATTCTTGTAAAAGAGGAATATCTTTTTAGACTCAAGGCCATAAGCCATTTTAGAAAAGACTGTAAAATTCAAGTACATTAAAACAAGTCAAAACAAAAACTTCTGCATGGAGGTAAAAATATGATAAGCCAACTCAAAGGACAGACAAATGAAAATTAAGAAACATTATTTGTAACTCATATCACAAAGAAAAGGCTCACCTCCCTCTTACATAAGCATCTTCTTCAAATATATATTATGTTGGTGCAAAAGTAATTGCACTTCTTGCTATTGTTATAATGGCAAAAACTGCAATTATATATTTTTTCACCAACCTAATTTTTAAGTTTACTTTTGCATCAACCTAAAAAAGGCTCATGCTTGTAATCCCAGCACTTTGGTAGGCCAAGGAGGTGGGCTGATTGCTTGAGCCCAGGAGTTCAAGACCAGCCTGGGCAACATGCTGAAACCCCATCTCACAAAAAGTACAAAAATTAGCCAGGCATGGTGATGTGCACCTGTAATCTCACCTACTCAGGAGCCTGAGGTGAGAGGATCACTTGAACTCAGGAGGCAGAGCTTGCAGTGAGCCAAGATTGCACCTCTGCATTCCAACCTAGGTAACAGAGCCAGACCTTGTCAATAAATAAATAAATAAAATGTCTATTAAACACATAGGAAAAAATAGGCAAAGAATATGAACAGAAAGTACAGCATAGGCAATACAAATGGTCTTTAGCTTTATAAGAGGATACTCATCTGTACTTGTAAAAAGGGAAATGCTGATTCAAGTAATACCATGCTTGTGGTTTCAAAACATGGCCTAGAATTATTTGACACTCTTTCCATTAGGAGGTGAAGTCTGTATCTC